CGTTCTCATGACTAAGTTTATGCATTTACACTTCTAGAAAATTATTATATGGTACAACTCATAATTAGACTGTATTTTCACGTTAATTTTTAGCTTGAATCATATAATCAGAGCGTTACTTCAGTTTGAGTCGTAAGACTCATTTACGGCTAATTATGAAGTTTGATCGGCTCTGCTTTTCCATCCATCCCTCTACTTTGTTTTAAATTTATTATATACACATCTTGACAAAGAAAATATCCTTTTTATCTTTGGTTTTTTTTTACAAGATAAAGAGATGATAATCAAAGATGGTTTAGACCTATTCGTTATGCATGAGACTGACATGTGGAACAAAGCTTCGTTTCTGACTCGCCTTGTTGCATCTTCAATACGTGTTTCCGAAGCTGCTGGGAATATTATCAAGGTAGATTTTATTCGTAAATTTTTCGGGTATTTTTTTGGCAAAGCAGTTAAGCTGCCGTGATGAGGGAAAAGTTTTTTGGAACATTTAACATTGGAGAGCAATACGCAAAGCCTCTTCCTTAACATTGCCACCATATTTGACGATCCTGTTTCATTTCCTTTCTCATCTTCGTGACTGTTCCTTTTCTAGAACGTTATGGCCGGAGGCGACTTGAAAATTGTCGACAAAAGCGCTGATGGTGAACCGGCCGATCCTCAGACAGAAGCGGATCGTCGAGCGCAATTTCTCATTGTTAAATCGCTAACGGAACGTTTTAGTGGCATCCACATTATAGGAGAAGAAGTGGGTTTATGCTGTTCAGATTTCACTTCCTTTTCAACTTCAAGACAGTGTAAACATACCTGGATCATCAGTATCTTTTTCGAATCCGCTGTTTCCTGTTTTCGATTCCAGTTTAACTATGAACGAGCTTGTAAGCATTTTTATTCGTAAGTATCATGTTTCAATAGTTTCGATGTGGACTTGCCTTCATGTTTACTAGAAGAAAACCTGATTCTAGAACGATCAGCGCAATAAAAATTAGTGTTGTATCATGTGTGCGAATTAAATAGGTCCCTTTTTCATGGTTCCAGTTATAAGCTTTAAAAACCTTATGCATGCCTCTTTAGTTACGTTCATGCCGCTGGTAGACAGATCTGTGCTAGAATGCTTTTGTTCTTGCAATAAATCTTGAAGTAAGAGGGAGCTAGCACCAAATATGGTGAGGTGAGGAAGTGATGTTCAAACTTTAACGTATAATCAGTCTTAGGTTTAGGCTTACATTCAGAAAAGACATAAGTTCTACAGTACACGAAATGTCTGCTGCGCTAATCTTATTGAAATTATCTTTATAAAAAACTGATTTGTTCGAATTTTGGCTTTTGCGCCTAATGACTTTTCAAGTCTTTAGGATATCACCTCCGACTGTCACTCTATCGAAAATGCTTTTTCTTCTGATGTGCTTCGGCTGGAGGATGAAATAAGCCCAGATCTGAAGTCCATAAAACCCGAGGATGTGAGTGTTCTCTGCCCAGAATTTAAATCTCCCGAATTACCGATTACTGCAGGTTGTTGTATGGGTTGATCCATTAGATGGCACTTCGGAAGTGGCGCTCGCTGTGAAAAATAAAAACGAAAGTGGGTTTTTCATAACACTATTCTTTTTGGGCAAAGGAGCATATATTGATGTGCACAAGATGCGCTAGCACATCACATGCAAACCAAAGCGAAGCTTGAACTCAT